CAACTAGTTTTATTCCTTGCAACTAGTTTTATTCCTTGCAACTAGTTTTATTCCTTACAACTAGTTTTATTCCTTACAACTAGTTTTATTCCTTACAACTAGTTTTATTCCTTACAACTAGTGGGTGTTCTAATGACGTGCTGCTTATTTGCACAAGGTGCTTGTGAACCGTCACCATTCTTTAATGCTGTCTCTCCTTCATTGAACAAATGCTTTAACTCTTATATACTTCACACAGAATGCGTTTCCAGCTCGTTGAAAAGCTTTATATTGAATAATTAAGAGCAAAGAGGAAAAAAACAGTTAAGCTGCAACTGCATTTATTTACTAGACGTGGTTATTTCAGAGACTGTAAAAGAAAAAGAAAACCACATTTAAGCGAAACATGGACTAAACCCAGCACCAGTGAGATCATAAAAGAGCAGAGAGTGGGAGTTATAGTCTATATTGTTAAGAAATGCTCGTATATTTACAAGTTTAAGGTAATATATCTATATTTTATTAAAAATCGACTGATTTCGGAGCAGCATCTTCTCTGTAGCTGCATCGCGGAAGTTTACGTTGATGACGTATGTCGCGAGCCCAACGCTGCTAGTTTGGCTAACGGTCGTCAGAACGCACCTCCTCGGCACAGAGTCGCTGGTAAACGCTCTCCAGGTCCTCCAGCTCCGTCAGGGTGGAGATGGTCTCCATGCTCACAGAGGACGAGGAACCGGAGTCGTTTCTTTTTGCTGCCAAGTGTCCGCTGTCAGCCATCTTCCGCCACACGTCAGCTAAACGGAAGTGAACGCAAACAACACTCGTCCCTGGGTTTGGTCTGGAAGGTAACCTTAAGGAATCGTTTTGGCTTATTCAGCAACTCGGAGTCTTAGTTGTATCTTAATCATGATTTTTTTTTTTCAAGAAAAATTTCCTCAAACATTGCAAAACAAAAAGCGTATGTACATTACTTACTGTGGTTATTGGATTACATGTACAGTATAGCGTTTACGGACAACCACCTGAGAGACAAAACTACGGGGAATAATACTCTACGCATGCGCTTTGACGTTTCGCTTTACCCATCATTTCAATGCAATTTTCATTTATTCAACCTTTATTTAAATTATATTATTTTGATTATTTAGCCAAATTTGTCGTAAGAGTAACAAATTATATTTTTTTACTTTGATATTTTCTATTATTTATATGACTTATTTAAAATATTGCATCTACTTGTTCCTAATAAGCTTATAACTAATTACAGTATCACCAGTTTATTGAAAAAAATACTTTTAAGACTTGACAAATCAAGAACATTAAATCACACCTACATAGTACTATTGCCAAAAAAATAAAAAATAAATAACGAGAGGAAAAAAACCGTTGCAACACATTTTAAAGATGCTAAACAGACTATTAGAAAGATATTTTCAGATGGGGAGAACACATCTTTTCACTTTCTTCAGACACATTGAGAGTGTACACCCCTTAATGTTCAGCATAAGAAAAACAGTATAAACTTGTTTTAAAGTACGTCTATTTTATATTTAAACATTGGTGGCCTTTTTTAATTTATGGTTTAGTTTAGCTGCATAACGACACCTGAAAACTGACTTTGCCTTTTGGTTTCATGTACCCACCACTACAGTAGCTAATCGCCCCATGTATTTACAAAAACAATATTCTAGTAATAACAGATTTATAATGAATAAATATAAGAATTTATAAACAGTGAAATAAACATCCTAATGAAAACAGCGTTTATTTTTAAAGGGAGTTGAAATAATAAAACTGTAATACAGTAATTCGTTTAGCTTTGTGAGCATTTTCTGAATTTCGCTGGTTTCTGTAATTTTCCACAGAATCAGTCGTTCATCTTCAGCGTCACTGTAGAAGTTGGTGTTCACTAAAATACATTAAAAAAGGATTAAGCAACAAAGTTGAATATCAAAATGTCTTTTCATTTTACAACTCCGCTGCTGCATTTGCAGCTCAAAATATTTCCCATCCTTGAATATCTGTGCCAACAGTGACCCCATTGATGTGCGGGTAGTTTTATTTGACAGGAAATAAATTTGTTAGCAAAACTCACTGAAGAGACAAACAAATCTTGCAATCATTGCAAGGAGGAGTCAAACATCTGTTCTGAAATTTGCTATTTCTCCACATCTGACGACACAGAGATACAATAACAGAAAATCCAGCTGACAAAAAGAAAAATCAACAGTGCATTGATTTTTCTGGAACGCCGTTACGTCAGAACATCATCCAGAGGCTTCTTCTCTCTGGAGAGCAACAAGAGTTCTTCTCTTTCCCGATGAAGCTCTTCCCACCTCTTCTGAAGCTCCGTCTTTTCGCTCTCTAGCTCCTGGCGCTGTCTACTCAACTCTTTGGCTTCTTCCTGCTGTGCTTTTCGCAGGGACTCAATTTTCTCCCTCTCTGCAGCTGCCTCTCTGGCGCTGGCTGCTCTCAGCTTCTCAACCAGCTCTCTCTGATCATTCAGAGTCCGAGCCTCCTCCCTCTGCGTTCTCCTCAGAGCGTCTATCAGTTCCTTTTCCTGCATTAAAATTCTGCTTTCCACTTCAGGTTCTCTTGAAGCCTTCAGTTCACCTGCAGGGACTGAACACCAAAGTGCAGGAAACAGCTTGAGACTATTTTAAGAGGGATTTTGCGTTTAAAGTTACAGCAATGAAAGATTACCTGGAATCTGGTGGTTGTGTTTTCTCAGTGTATAGCTCCTATCTGCCCCGTCATTTTTCAAATTTGTGTTGGGTGATAAGCGCTGCTGCTGGTTCGATGCCAGTTTAGAGAACACCTTCGGATGCCTCTTCGACATGTGTCGGTGCAAATTGCTGGTGCAACCGCTCTCGAAACATTGAAGCTTCTTCATGCAAATCTGACACTGAGCTGCATTCAAACTCTCCAGACGCTTAAAGTGATGCCAAATCAGACTCCGTCTGCGCGTTTTCTTCGCAGACTGCTCCTCACTTTCACCTGCGCATGTTGCTTGTACCGAACCTTTCTGCAAAGTCTGCAATAGGCCGTTTATGGCCGAATCGATTTCATCCGATGGAGGCATTTTGTTGGATCGAGTTGTGATTTCAGCGTTGCCATTCTCCAGTGCTTCTGCCAAATAAAAAGAAAACAAAGCTGTAACTGTGAAAAATAAAAACAGTAAAAAGTTTCCCAACATTTGGGAAAAGTTTTGTTCAAAGAAGTGAAAAAACGTCCGCCTTTCAAGACACAATAAATCTCCCAATAAAATTGTTTGATGCTGTATTTGTACAGTAGTCCCTCGTTTATTGCAGGAGAACTGTACCCTAAAGCCCCGTGATAAGTGAAAAACCGCAAAGTAGGAATAGTAGTACAAGTAGTTAGTAGTAGTTTATGTATATAAATATATATATATATATATATATATATATATATATACTCATTTTAAACTCTTCCCAGACTCTTGCAATATTCTAAATAATGTTTCTAATCTAAATGCTCTAAAAGAGCACAGCATGTCATGATTTCAGCTCTCTGCCTCCGGCTGCACTCTCGGCCACGCCCACTTCTCTGCTCTGAACGAAGATCAGCTGCAGGAGGAAGCTTCTCCCACAGCTGTGGACTGTACACAGGTGCTAAATCCATCCATTATCTTTTACCCGCTTCTTCCATTTTGGGTCACGGGGGACGCCGGTGCCCATGTCCAGCAATCACTGTGCGAGGGGCGGGGCACACCCTGGATGGGTCAGGTGCTAAATCATTTAGATTTATTTAAAATAAAAATTCCATGCCGATCGTGCGGCTCATCCATCAATCAGCCAACTGTGTGTCATGTCCAATCTTATTTTGAAAACGCGATAAAGCAAGTCCGTGAAAAATGAACTGCAAAGTAGCGAGGGGCTACTGTAATTTTTTTTTAAAGTAAATGTTTCAATAGCCGGACATGGGCACCGGCGACCCCCGTGACCCAAAATGGAAGAGACTGGTAAAAGATAATGGATGGATGTTTCAATAATTTGCAAATCATTACATTATTTTTTTTATATTATACTTTACAATGTTCGAACATTTTGGAAACAACATAGTACCTACTTGGTGAGTACGAAAAGGTATAACTAATAATTAACTCACTTGTGTTCCAGTAATTTAGAGGGAAACTGAAGCCAGGAAGACGTAAAGTAAAAATCTTAGTTCAAAACGTTCAAAAACTCAGAATGTGAAGCAGGAGCAGTTCTGACTTCATGTAATCTCCGGTCAGCGAGTAACAAAACCTTACCTGGAATCCATTTCTGGGTGTTCTTCCACGAGGTTTCACTGGTCCCAGCATTAGCGTTCGAGCCCTTTAAAGAGTTTAAGTTAGAGCAGGTTGGACACAGCTCAGAGTACAACTTCAAGAACCCGCCTCTCAAGGCAGGAATCACTCGCCTCCTCTGCAGGTGTGATCATCCGTGCTGAACCTTGCGATGTGTTCAAGAGGCCGTTGTTGTTTGCCGTCTCCGTCAGCTCAGTCAAAACTCCAGCGTCCCCTCCAACTATCACTTTCACTAAATAAGACAAAATGTTTGAGAATTTACAATCAACTGTTTTCAAGAAGTAGAAAAATAACTGAAGAGGAACCTTAAAGTCCCTGTGACATCATTTTTTTGTAATGAATATAAATGCATTTTTGAAAAAAAAAATGGCATTAATAAAATACTGCAAAAAATAATAAAATTCAAGCCACTGTACTGTACTGTTTTTGTAGGACATGCACGTCACATGCACCTTAAAGCTGAACGTGCGACACAACACATTCTGTTTGACCAAAAGCAAATGACTGAGAATCCAAGACTGCTTTAATCTGCTGAAGATAATAATCCAAGTTATTGACTACAGTATGAGTAAGCGTATTGTTTCTGGTGTGTTAAAGGGGTTTTCTGTTTTCTTGCACTATTTTAGATGCAACAAAGAAAAATCAAACGGAGCTGAAGCTGAAATAGCAGACTGACAACATCTCATCAGGGTAACGATTGTTGAGAATCAGCTGTTGAACCGCTACAGTTCGACTCTTCCTGCTTCAACCTTTACACTTGTTTAATATTTTTGATTCTAATTCAACTTCAAGAATGTTCTTTTCTGTTTACCCATATATCACTTTTAGATAGCAGGTGTTTCAGACTTCACTTGTTAATGTTTAGGTTATGATTGAACAATCACAAACAGATAAAATGCTTCACAAAACTGAAACTTTGCACTTTGCTTTGTGTTAACTTGTTGGATAAGGATAGATCTGCATAAAATCTATTTTTTTGGGTTTGTTACTGTCGGATACTGTAAGGATGTGCTACTTCTACGTCCCAGCAGTATTATTTAAGAGTAGCAACAAAAAAAAAACTATGCACGACAGAAAAGTGAACGGTGGTCTGTGAGCTTACCTGGATCATGCTCGTTCTCATGTATGCCAACATCAGTACCATCTTCCAGTGAAGGACGTTGATGGCTGCTGGCTAGTAGCTCTGAGAGCACCTTTGGGTGTCTCTTGTTCAAGTGCCTACGAAGGTTGCTCACACCACCGCTTTCGTGCAACTTCTTCATGCAAATGAGGCAACGGGCAGCGTTTAAACTTTCCACATGTTCAAACAGCCTCCAGATCAAACTGCGCCTGCGTGTGTTTTTGGCAGGATTGTCGTCGCTCGGCTCTACAGGCAACTGTTCTGCCGAAACTTGTTGGAAAGTTTCTGGGAAGGCACTGACAGGAGGACTGACATCAGAATCGTTAGGTGGGGTCTTGACGTCCGAGACTCCTTCCTCCATTTCCACTACCACTGAAGAAAAAGGGGGAAGAAAGTTTCATGTAAGGCTGCACATATGGATCCAAAAGATGTGATCTGGAGAAGACTTAAAGGCTGGTATGATCACGATTTGAACTTAAAGCAGAATCTTATTTTTAAACTTCTATAAATGTATAATACCAACTCTCAAGCTTGCAGTAACCAGAACCTTCCACCATTAATAAACCAACTTTATCTTCTGAGGTCACCTCTCCTGTCTATATTCCACTGACAGTCCCTGAGTAGATAAGACTAATCTAGTGCATACATATATATATATATATATATATATATATATATATATTAATTAATATCAATATGTATCTGGAGCCTGCAGATTACAGCACAGATGCAACATGGAAAGGAAAAACTCCCTCATGAGGAAGAACCAGGATCACATGTTGAGATCCTGAAAGCGCGCGTGTAAACATTAAAGCTGTAGTTTTCACAAACCTGTGCCTTCAGGTAATTTGGAAACACGTACCTGAGATGATCTGGTCTCCATCTATTTCCAGGCTCCCGTCTTCCTCCTGGCTCGCTGCACGTTCGGCGTTCAGTACGAACTCTTTCCCCGAGACCTCTGCGGGATGTTTGACACGCAGGTGTCTCAGCATCTGGGTGGCGGAGCCATGACCCTGTTTGTGCAGATACTGAGAACAGAGCAGACACTGGACCGACACGTCGTCTACGACCTTGAAATAGCTCCACAACAGCTCCACGACACTCTTGCGGTATTTGTCCATCTTGTCCTTCCTTCTCAGACTGGTTCGAACGGCCGCCGTGAACCAAAACAAAGCGGATCTACCGTTATGAACGTTAGCTGTTGTGCTAACTTAGCCGAATTCGGCTACGGCTATCCCACAATGCATTGCGACGGCCGATATTTTTTCTTCTTGAAACTATTTTGTGACGTCACAGATTGACAGCAACAGAACGCCCCTAAAAATACAAGGAACGATAAACTAATATTTAGCATTTAACATTATCCCGTTTTGTTTAATATGCGACTGTTTTAAATGATAGGCCCACCATAACCTGTTTGGAAGTTTATATATATATATTTTTTTAAAACAAAATACCAAATTTATTAGAAGAGTACTAGCTGTTAAATAAACGTTCGATTCTAAAATATATTTTATATTTAGTTTTCTTTTTACTAGCAGAGCAAAATTCCTTTCTCAAAATGTTAGATATGAACATTACCGAGGGCCTCAGGTTTTAGGGCCAGCTGTGAATTTGTTTTTCCAAGTTTTTATTGCCAATTATTCAAATCCAAAAGTATTTAAAATCAAATTATGGTCTTTTTCTGTTTTTATTCCTTTTAATCTTATCTTGTCGTTTGACACAATGATATACCTACAAATGCATATGCACTTGTAATACGAAAGAATAGAAACTCAGGTCAGACAAAGAGATTCTAAATGAAAGCAGCTGTTTGTTTTTTTATTAAAGGAAATATCTGACACGCAGATAAACAGTTTACCAACTCTAAGGCAACAGATTAGTGCTCAAAATGCCATATCAGTCAAAACAAAACTATTCTTAAAAAAGATAAATATTACGGCTTTAAACAGAAATTCACAGGCTTAAAACACAAACACTGGACAGAACAAAAATAAACTTTTTTTTAAATTTCCAGCCGACATAAATAAATAAAGTCTTCCTCAAACACATGATACAAGTCACTTCTGCAACAAGCAAATTACATTTTAAATAGGGGACACCTTATCAGTGCAAAAAGGAAAAAAAAAATTGGATACGTTAATAAAAACTCTGCTGGAATGTATTTTAGTAGTGACGAGCTCAGAAGAAAAATGCGATGCATTTTCTCAACATACTTAATATAAACTGTAAAGCACGGCTGAAGAAACATGTAAAATGTTGGGTTTGGCAGATTCCAAACCGATCAAATGAAACTTGCTGTGTTAGTTTTCAACCCTTTCTGATTTAGTGATGTCAACAGTGACAGCAACTGTTAGAGGATCAGTATTCAGAGGGTGTTAGATGCGATAAACGGCTGTAACAAACAGACACTTTATAAAATCAAATGTAAACTTGACAAAAAGGAAACTGTAGTTTCAGAATGGTTGATTTTACCTAGTAGATGGCACTTAAAATTATTTATTTGCACAACTGACTCAGAAAATAATTGTTGGTTAATAAATGTAAACATTGCCCGAAACTTAATTTGTTGCCAAATAACCACAATTTATTGCATCTAAACCTCTAATATTCATAACAAAATTATTATCTGCTATTGTTTTACTAAATAAAAAAAGCCTAACAAGTGCAGCAGCTGTTAAATTAATCCGTTTCCCCAGATTTATAGTTAAGTGAAATAAGTAAAATGTTTTCAAAGTCAAAGCAAAAAATGAGACGTCTCTACCTCCTCATGAGACATAAATAATTATCTGCTTTAAATGTATTGATATTTCAGCCAAAATCACTAAGTGATCAGTGTTGCGCTACTCAAACCTCTAAAGAGAATATTTGTGTTAGGTTTTGATAAAACAAATAAAAATACAAAGTGTGTGAACGATGTAGGAGTAGGCTGAGAGAATTCGAGGTTTTTTCCAACTTCAGCTGCTCTATAAGGAATGCATGAAACAAAAAACAAAAAATAAGCAACTAGCTTATAGCACACTACACTATTGCAATTTTTTTTTAAAAACTGGTCACGTTAAGGGACAAAACTTTTTTTTTTTCAAAACCCAGATAGCTTATGTTACTCACTCCCTACTTTATTTTTTCAAAGTAGTGGCAAACTGTAACATTTATAAATCAAAATAATTCCCAGTCTTTTGTGCCACGTAACGTTGCACGTATTAAACACAAAATATGCAAACTGCACACAGCTCCAATATTCTTTTCTACATTTTCAGATAAACTAGCATTTGTTTTATGCATAAAACTGATTTATGTGCCCCAATCCTACAGTGAAGTTTGAATAAATTTTGCAGGGGCCAACCGCTTGGTTGCGTGACCTCTGAACTCCTCATAAACTTTTTTTTAATCATTCTATATGTTGACAGTGCTATTTATTTGATCATTATCCAATATTTAATGCAGGTGCTGTGCCTTACTGACGTGATGATTATCACAAAGCCTGAAACTCAGTTTAACTTCAAAACACAGTGAGAATAAAAGCAGCATTTATTTTAGGCTCATTTTATCTTCAGGCAGACTTTGACCTCATCTATACTTTATCTTCAACACTTTCTGGTCAGAATCCAAATAATGGAGCTGTGGTTTACAAATGTAAATTTAGTGTACACTCATTTCAGTTGTGCAGGGAAAGCACAGGATGCATCTGTGTTCATTTAAATGAGACTAATGTTTAAAACATGATAAATTGTGAAAACTGTGGAAAAAGTAGTCGTGTTTGACGTAAACGACCAAAGCAGCTGAATTTAAAAAACAACATTCAAAGCCCTGTTCTGTCCCATATGTAGTTTTTGCACTTTGTGAATAAATTAATTCAGTTTTTGTTTCTCTGAAGAGCCTCGCACAGATTCTGATTCGGATCCGGCTCCTGACTCATGACGTCCACGCATATCCACTCCCCGCTGCTGCTGGACCGTTTCACCGCCTCGACCACCGTCTGTACATACAGACCGTCTTCGAATGTCGGCGCCGAAGCAACTGGTCCTCGTGCCCAAGACCTGCGCTCCTCATGAGCCTGAAAAGACTGTCTCAGTGCCTTTACCATGGAGCTCAGGCCCTGCAGAAAAGGAAGAGGCATCTCCTTCGCCTCAGGTCCAACCCACCCACTGTCACCTAGCAACAACTCCTCACTTTTATTGCCGTTGCGTTGACCGTAAAGTTGCGTGTCCCTGACGACCAACCTTCCAGTGGATCCAACTATCATAACCTCATGCACAAATGACCCAGGCATGTTGAAGTTCAGGGTGACGGTGCAGCACACACCAGCAGATCCAGTACCTCCCATCAGCATTTGGAAAAAACAGAAGTCATCGCTGGTGACGCGGCGGATGCCCCGGATCAAGTTGTTCTGTTGTACAAAAGTCCGTAGTAAACCGTGCACACGATGGGCTCGGGTGCCCGTGAGGTAACTCAAGAGGTCAATGATGGTGGAGCCAACAATGTGCAGCCCGCCTCCTCCCATCAGGTCCTCACAGGTCCAGCCATACGACTGGTCAAGGAGACTTGGGCCGTAGACTCGAACATCACACACCTGGATATCACCAACATATCCTTCGACCAGCAGCTTGCGCATCGCAACAAAAGCGGGCAGGAAGCGCAGGGTGTTACCCATAATGCTGAGCAGCTGAGGGTAGTATCTGGCTGCAGTCACCATCTTGAATGAATCAACAGCTGTTGCAGCTTTCTCACACACAACATTCTTACCTATACCTGCGGGAAGAGGAAAAACAAAGCTGTTAAGTAAACAATTGTCAGGCGCAAGTATGTGCTTATGGAAATTTAACAGTTCATAGATTTTACATTAATTAATAACAGTTGCTTTCTCCATAAATAGTGAGAGACATTAGTTAAGTTGCCTAGTAACGTGGGAAATTACTGTGTAATAAACCTGATTTAAGGGTGGATAGATCTGGTTGGTTAATGCTTTATATGTTCGGGCTGCTACACCATATTGTTTCACAGTGTCGCGTATCTTAGATCTTTCAGCATGCCGTTTGGTGTTCGTTTAGTGCATAACTTAATTTATCTTAGATCCTTACTGTATATACTGTTTCTTTTTACACTTTATATTTTCGCTATTTTTGGGTGTAACTGGGACCCTGAGTACATAATTTCATTCCACCTCATGCACCACATGTGATCCGAATGACAATAAACTTGACTTGAACCAGAACTATATGTTACAACTTGTCATTTCACAGTGGATCAGCACATTCTCGTAAATGCATTCAGTAGAAGGTGGAATTTGAGTTGCTGAGAAGTCCTTCAGTAGGAAAACATTGAGGAAGTTGCAGCTAAAACAGGAAACTGAGCTCAACGCTGAAGAATTCCATCAGATAAGATACCACATCCACTCCCCTCTGACATAATAAACAGTAATGTCTAATGTTAAGAATTTTTGTTTTGCTTATCTTGATTCAGATAAGAATTATGATTCAGAGGATGGCAGTTGTTTTTAATATTAACATTTTCAGAAGGGACTAACAGCTCAGCTATGCAAATATGTCTGACATCTGCTGCGTCACACCCAACCAGATCAGATTACAATGCGAGTTTGGACAAACAAAGAAGTGAAAAATGGGAAAAAGACTTGAGATAAATCGATATGGTGTTCAGAGGAAACTCAGAGCAACTGGCATAAAATATTAAACTCTTGAGTTCCTGTCTTTTAGTTTATATTTACAAATATTGATTTAAATGTAAAAGACTTGGTACAAGGCTGTACAGATAAGGTTATACAAAATAAATATAGGTTTATATTATTTTAATTAAGGCCAGTAAAGTGAATAACTTCATGAATCTATAAAATAAAAACTTACCCAGTGCTTTGACTGCAATCTGTTTTGTCATTGAGGGTGGAATATAGATGCAAACCAGGTCAACATCTTGGTGCAGGAGGACGTCGTCAGATCGGCTGGTGTGGAACGGGATACCGAGTTCTTTTGCTAAGCTGCGAGCTTCCTCTTCACTTCCTCCCCACAGCGCGTGAACTTCAAAGCCCTCAGCTTGCAACAACGGGACCAGCACTCGGGCTGTGCTCCCTGTACCAAACACACCGACTCCCGGCAACATGGCAGTGCCTCTCAGCAGGATTTTATGTGTGAACTGCAGCCATCCTCTTCAATGTCTGTTTATCTGTCGAGGCTTGTGCTGTTTGTTGGCGAGCCTGGATGAGTTTACCTACAAAGATGGAAAAAAAAAAAAACCTTGTAAAGCTGGTTGCTACTGACCAAAATTAAACATTCCTTATTTTCACCAATTTTTGCTTGCAAAAATAACTCTCAGTAAAAGTGAGTAAAACAGTTTCTGAACTTTGAGCTGCTACTAACTCTGACGAACAAGAAGACACCTGTCTCACTACAGGACATCTCTCTGCGACTGAGTGAATGTCTTAACAAACAGGACAAACATGTCAGATGGAGGTCCTGCCCAGCATTCCTCATCAGACAAGAGTCCCGCTGCATACTTAACATGACTTTCCTCAGATGCTAGTCCACACCTTTAAAATGTGAACACCCTTTCTTCTTCCAACACAAGTGCTAATAGCCACTCAGGTTTAACACTAAATTATGTCAATAAACTGTTTATGTAGCTCAACTTGTCAGAAACTCCCCTTGCTGGTTTTCTTATATAAATGCTGGTTTGTTTTTCATAGTAAATTTCATTCAACCTTTATTACAACTGTTGTTGAATTTTGATGGACAGCAGCCCTTACCCACAACTTTCTGCATTACTGAGACTAACAAGGCAGGCTGTTAAAAAGTCTCTATATGAAAGAGCAAAAAGTGAGCTTCAATGAGATAACAAAAAAGTATTTATGTTAAATGAATCACAGATCTGTGTGGGAGTGGATGTACTGTACTGAGAGAACTACCTGTGCACCTGCATGACCTGTAACCAGAAAACTCTCAGAATGGGAATCAACACAAACAAACTTGGAATAAAACCAACCTTTTCAACAGACCCTAAAACCGTGTCCACTGCTCAACATGTGAAAATTACGTGCCATCAATCTTTTTGCTAAGATTAGGGGAGTGGATGTGACATTTACACATCTCCATCTTATGTGTAATTACTTCTCTAATACGTAAACACACAGAGCCAGTCGGACAGAGGCTACTGATAACGTCAGTTAGCATTTAGCAGCTAGCCGGTCAAACAGAAGCTAGGCGAACACAAACACTCGCGATAAACGCCGGTACTTTATGCACCTCATTTATTTCTAATTCCCTACTGGTATGTAAAATTAAATACGACACACATGCCATAGAAACATGCACGGATAACACACGACGTACCCACTGTTAGCCGGGTCAACGTCCTCCGCAGAGAGGCGCTCAGCCGGGGCTATGCCCATCTGCTAATGTTAGCTTAGCTTCAGTAGCAACCGGAAAGACGTCGGGAGGAAGCGGAAGTACTAAACAATCCGGGTATTGTTCGCCAGAGGACGTTTTAAATCATGTGTATTTTTACCTTGCTCTTTGGAAGCAAACAGTAAAAAAAAATAATAAAGAAAATTAAAATAGATAAGGTGCACCTGAAAACTCTTAAGAGAATTAAAAAGAGAAATCAGGAAGATTTATAATTACTTAATAAGGAATAATTAATTCAATTCCTTTAGTTTAGGAAACTGAGCACAGATTTGCTACCAGATGTCATTCTACCTGAATGTCTACCTGATGTGTAATAATATTCTATATACATGGGAACAAACAAAAAGAACAGATCCTTCGTTGTTTTGCAACCTTGTCTGGGCTCCGTGGATCTGTCAACACATCGGATCCTCATGCATGAGACAATGGCCAACACTTCCCCAAAATTGAGATACTTGCATGCAACAAGCACGCACAATAATTTGCTTTTTTTTTAATTGCTAAATGTATTTCCCAGATGCCTACTCATTGTAGTTTTGACATAGAAGGGTAAAAAAAACATAGTCCCAGTCCATCTGCTTTTACCCTACAACTGATAAACACACTCAACAAACATGCCATGCTCACAATTAAGATTTATGTAGATTTTAGCTTTGCAATTCATTGTTTACATGTTGAACATGTACATTTTTTTCTTCTCAGAGTCAAATTGAGTGTTTTTTCATGAACTTTGTTTTGTTACTTTGAATACCTTTTATAGACTCTTTATTCAAGGTTCTTTATTGTCATTCGCACCATATGCGGTACATGAGGTGGAACAAAATTGTGTACACAGGGTCCCAGTTACATCCAACAAAAGTATAAAATGTAAAAAAAAAACAGTAACAAGATCTGAACTAATAAAAACTTAAACTAAATAAACACTAAGCACTAATAGCATAAAAACAATAAACACAATACGCCGAACAGCAGCACGAACATGAGTCTGTCTGAGCAGATGTGCACGCATGAACACAGCAACATGAAACAGATCAGCAGCAACATGATGTGATTTTTCACAGTGATTACTCTGGATAGAGATTCATGAGTCTAACAGCCTCAGGGTAGAAGCTGTTCCTCAGTCTAGTGGTTCTACACTTAATGCTCCTCAACCTCCTTCCTGAGGGGAGCGGAGCAAAACGTGAGTGTGCTGGGTGAGTGAGGTCCTTCATGATGCAGGTGGCTCTCTTCCTGCATATGGAGGTGCAGATGTCTGTGATGGTGGGGAGGCTGACTCCAACAGACTTCTGTGCAGCCTTGACCACTCTCTGCAAAGCTTTTTTTCTGCAGCTGGACCTCAGGCAGGAGGTTAAGGAGCATTAAGTGTAGAACCACTAGACTGAGGAACAGCTTCTACCCTGAGGCTGTTAGACTCATGAATCTCTAACCAGAATAATCACTGTGAAAAATCACATCATGTTGCTGCTGATCTCTTTGATGTTACTGTGTTCATGCGTGCACATCTGCTCAAACTCATGTTTGTGCTGCTGTTCGGCGTATTGTGTTTATTGTTTTTATGCTATTAGTGCTTAGTGTATATTTAGTTGATGTTTTTCTTAGTTCATATCTTAGATCTTATTACTGTCTTTCTTTTACATTTTATTGTTGGATGTAACTGGGACCCTGTGTACATAATTTCGTTCCACCACATGTGGTGCGAACGACAATAAGGAATATCTGAAAATAGAGTCTCTGAGGAGCTTTCTTGATCAGGCTGCTAATATTGTTGCCCCAGCTGAGGTTGTCATTCCTATGTATAAGTACATATGTATAAATGTAGGTCATTATTCATAAAATAATGAATTAATTCAACCTTTATTTATACAGGTTAGTCTCATTGAGTCACGAGGACTCATTTACAAGAGAGTCCTGTTTTAAACAATAAACACAGATTAGGTACAGGCAATAGACAGTCATATAAAACCATAGATTTTTTTTTCTTCTTCTATCAGCTGATGCCTTCTTCAGTGGGTCGCCACAGCCATCTAAGTCACATGAAAACACCCTTCCTGACGCAACCACAGACCACCGAGCTACCACAGCCCTCTGTGTGGAGCAGAGCTGCCATGTAGGGTGCCCGGGGGAGCAGATGGTGGGGGTTGAAGGCCTTGTTCAAGGGGGTGGAGGCAAATGTGGGTGCTTCACCTATCACTCACATTTTGATGTTGTCGGTACCGGGAGTTGAACCAATGATCTTCCGATCACAGGCCCACCTTCTCTAACCTCTCTTTCCTCATTTAGGAGGAAATGCATGAAGGCAACAGACCAAGAAGTGATTTAAAGATGAAAATGTACCAGTGAGAGAGTCTGCGTGAAGTTAATGATGACCAGTTAACCAGTGAATACAGGGTGCAGTGGTGGGTATGGTAGTTACAGCCAGTTATGAATCTTAGCGCACCGTGATAGACAGCATCCAACATCTGCAAGGGTTGGCAGGGTTGTGGCAAAATGAGTCACAAAAATTGAACTGAGCTGATGATTCTTTAAAGTAAATACTATTGATAGTTTTTTATTCTAGCTGAAAATGCATTTTGTGAGTGAATGTGCGGAAGAAAGCCAAACTTGGATTTGTAGATACAATTTCGGAAGGAAAAAAAGACAATGTAAAAAGATTTTAGTTAACTTTTCCCCTGTTCTCAATGGAATGTGTGAAAACTCCTTTTAGAAACTATAACATTAACTGATTTTCGTTAGTCGTATGAGATCTTTTAATATATTAAAATATTATGTGCCTGTATAC